AAAGGTTAGTACTCTAGAAAGACGTGGTTACTGGTTTACTACGAGCGCGATCTCTGGGTTAGTCTCGGGACTTATTGATCCATGTGTTACAGCATCACAACAGTTATTTCTATAATATGAGCCATAACATTTCCATAAACGTTAGTTGAAGTTGAACTTTCACTGATGTAATAATTCTTGATCGAAGCGGGTTCAAATGCAAGACTGAATAAAGTCAATTTTCACCAAACTTATATTCGACCGGAAATGTATTTGGATGTGGAATTGATAACCCGAGGCAGAAATTATGGCATTATTAATCGCTCTCGGAGAGATTCGAGTCAGTTTCGATAAACGATCTCTATATGTTAGAACTAAAAGAAAAAAAAAAAACTATCTATGTCCAAAAGTGATAGAGTTAGCTTTCATCCCTCTAACTATAATATGTATTTAACTATTTCTAGATACGATCTCCGTTTTTTCCCGATAATAAATATAAAAATGTGAAAATGTAGGAAAAGAAAAAAAATCTGTCGGACAAACTCGAAAGAATTTTCACGCGTCCGCTGCGTCCGGACGTTCGCCGGGATTATATCGGTTCCCGTGCACTGCACAAAAGTAACGATACTTTCGAGTGAAGTGTCGGATGGCGCCAATATTTGTCGCTCGGTTACCAGCTCAGACGAAAACGTCGGCGGGCATCGATGCAGCTCGGACTCGGCTTTACTCCCGCGAGCGCATTGTCGCGCGTGCTTATGGTAATACGCTCGAGGACGAGGAATTTCCCTCTCTTTTTCTTCTCAGCGCGCATTATACTCGTTCCTCGTAATTTCCCCACGACAATGGCTCGGCAACCTCGCCTCTGGCGAAAATCACGAGCGGGGGTGTGCCATCGGCGGAAAAATCTCGTTACTGCGTAATCGAAGGTGCGAAAAGGTTTCGCGGATGATCGGCCTCGCGGCCGCGAATGTATTGTATATACAACGCGGCGCAACGAGAAACGCACGCGCTTGCTCCGTGCACAATCTTTGTAAACAAGGCCGCGCATAATCACCGTCCGCCTCTCACTCCGCGCTCGTTTACTTGGCATATTCCACATTTCATAAGCAGCCTCCGTGACGACTCCGCTCGCCCGCTCGCCGATCGATTCATTTGCACGCGCCGCGCCGCCGCTCGCTAACGCGGAATTTGCACGCGGATTTTTACGTCGCCGTTGCACGAGTATACTTGTATAAACGGTAAGAGTCGCCGGAAAGACGTGCGCGAGAAACGTGCGATGTCTTTTAACGTACATCTCATTGTTACTCGCGCGTGATTGTCAGATTGTATTAGGTTAAGTAAAAAGTCATCGCGTATTTTTTAGCTCAAAGTTGTATATACAATATCTTCATCAATAATGAATGAAATTCAAATTTAAAAAAAGGGTTTTAAAGCTTGAAATCTTTACTTTTAAAAGCTTATCACATTTTTTAAGTTTATATGAGTTTGATAATTTTTACATACCAAAAACTACGAGCTGAAAAAGACGAAAAATTTTCTTCTCACTT